GAGACGAAGCAAAGTAGGTGATTTTGTTGGGTGCAAATTTGATGATCTCTGTAAGCCTTCACTTAATTCACAATTAAAAAGCTTTTTTCAAAATGAAAACCCAGCTAAATACACATCTAAACTATGACTCAAAAAAGAAGTCTGGTAACATAGTGGTTACGAGTCTGGCTGCTAACCTCAAGGTCAGTAGTTCGAAACTACCAGCCATTCCATAGGAGGAAGATGAGGCTTTCTGCTCCTGTAAAGATTTACAGCCTAGGAAACCCTATGAAGGGTAGCTCTGAGTCAGAACCAACTCTGTGGCACTCAACCACCACCTAAGGGGCATGATCCTACTTCGGATTATAGGATATCGCCATGCGTCAGACCCAACCCCATGACATAAGAATTTGATTTTCAGTTTATCCATCTCCCAACACAGTCTTAAGAATATATTTATATGTTAACAGAGTGAACAAATGACTGAGTGAATGAATTACTAAAATTCTAGAATATTCTCTATCAAGTAAAGCTCATGTACTATCATTGTATGATTATAATTAAGATGCAAAGAGAAAAGCAAGTTATAAAAAGAATTCTACAATAAATAATAAATGAAATCACCCTTTAAAGTATTTATGTGACCTCTTTTGTTCAAATCTGGATTGCTTATAAGCTTCTCGTGGAGATGTTTCTTCCTCTTTGGTTTATGATGAAATATGCGTGCAATTTCCTGTCCTCTCTACAATGTTGGTTTCTCTTCTTGAAGCAGAAGATGTATCAGGCTCCTCGGTCAACAAAACCACCATCCCAGGAAACCTAGGTAAGCATAATAGTGAAATATATTAAGTAAGGTTTTAAGTAGATAGTACACTAGTATTGCATGGTAGTTGATAATATTTGAAAAATTTTTTTTTTCCTAGTTAAGGTTGTATAAATGTGGTAACGTGGAGCTTCACAAGTTAAAGAAATGGGGAAGACACATATTTTTCTCAACTTATACAGTGCTCACAGGATAGAGAAGTTCTACTCTGACTGAGTTGGAACCAGCTCACAGGCATTGGGCAAACACCTAGAGCAAGTCCAGTAAAATCCTTTATCCAGACATAAGGAAAGAATGCATATATTCCATTTCCTCTCCAGGAACCCATGCATTGGCTAATTGCACTAAGTGTTTAGGAAGAAATGCCAACTGCCGGCGGGAGACCTTTGTGGCAGTTTCCTGTAAAATGGGCAGTGATACTTTTAACAGCCCTCAGAAATAATGTGAAGTTTGGGAATCTGATTTCCAGTTTTAATGTTAGGCAGAAACTAGCACAGGGTCTGACATGCTCTTAATAAATAGCCATTAATGGACAGAAGCAATCATTTACTATAATACATAGAAATCTATTTTATGTTTTGGTCATGTCACCAATGACTTCTACTATTTTAAGAATTGGCAGGCATTTGGCAAAAATTAGAAATCAAAATGAAAAATGTCTCCAAATTTCTCAGCACTAGTTCTGAACACGATTTTCTCAAAATTGGATTAAAGTAACCAAAAAAATATTTGGGAAACAAATACAAATAATAAGGAGGATTATTTCTATTTAAGGCTCATATCCACATAAGGTAAATGAGCACCTGTCATCCGCAGACCTTTGTGGAGCCTGGTGACATCGTGGCTAAGCACTGACTTGTCATCAGAAGGTCGACAGTTCCCAGTCAACAGGTGCTCTGCAGTCGGAAGATGTGGCAGCTGGTTTCCATAATAGTTACAGGCTTGGAAACCCTATGGGGCAGTTCTACTCTGCTATGATTTGAAATTGACTCCATGGTAATGAGGATGTGCAGACTTTGGTGTCATATGAGAAACTGGTTGGTTGGTTGGTTATGTGCTGTGGAGTCGGTTCCGATTCATAGTGACCATGTACAGGGTTTCTGAAGCTGTAAATCTTTATGGGAGCAGAAAGCCTCATCTTTCTTCCGTGGAACAGCTGGTAGTTTTGAACTGCTGACCTTAAGGTTCACAGCCCGATTTGTAACCACTACGCAACCAGAGCTCCTTATATGAGAAATACTAATGTACAAATTGTATACTAAGTGCCTCTGCTTGTCTTCTCTATGAGACTCTGATTAGGTAGCCCAAAGGTGCTGTCCTTCAGAACACTAAACACACTTGTGGACTACCAGAGTGTGTCCTAGAAAGAGTACCTGCTAATGTGGACTGAACATTCACCATACTCAGGTCCTCTGCTTTATATGGGATCTCATTTAGCACTCCCCACAGCCCTAGGGAGTAGATACCAACTTACATATGTGAAAACCGAAACTTATGTTGAGAAACATACAGGGTCACTGATCCCCTGAGGCCTTTTTGAAGACCTCCAAACAGTCTGCAGAGCCCATACTCAAAACCACAAGTCTGTCCTGCCTCCATTTTTCAACAGAGAAGAGACCTAGTCTTGTGGTTATTGTAATTAAAACAGGAGGTGATTTTAGATAAAGAAATTTGGAACCTTGTCAACTGTCCTACAATCATTTTTCCATCTTACCTATTATTTTTAAGAGGAAAGCTGTGCATGCTTGTGGTAACATGGATATAGGAGGAAGGGGCACTCGCTGCCTAGGCCTCCTGGTTCTCTTGGGCCTGATCCCCAGGCAGGAGATGCTTGTGGTCCAGGTATTGTCTCCTGAATACCTGATGTGCAGATCTTCATTGTACTTTTACTGCAGAGGAGTCTTGGTGTGGCATTGGACATTAACCATAGGGTCAGTGGTTCAAACCCACCAGCTGTTCCTTGGAAATCCTATACGAATGAGGTTAATACGAATTGGAACTGAATTGCCTGCACTAACAACAACATTCTACTGTTGATGGTCCTTCTAGTTGGGTGCTATCATAAACAGTACTACAGTGAACGTTCCAGCACATGTGTGTTTGTTTGTTTTTGATAAATATATAGACCCAATTCTGTTGGACACATACCAAAAGTAGACTCGCTAGATCATAGTGTGTATGGACGTCCAACTTTGGCAGATAGTGTTAAACCATTTTCCAACCAACAATGAGTGTGAGTCCTGGGTGCTCACTAACACTTGGTACTTTCTTTTTAATTTTATTTTTTCTGGTGGGCATGTTGTGATATCTCGTGGTGGTTTTAGTTTGTATTTTTCTGATGACTTAGTTGAGCACCTAGGTAGAGTTTTAATTCATTGTTGGCCTGAGGTATGTAAGACCAAACTAATAGTGTCGACTCAGGCCCTACACCCAAGTGAGGAGCAGACAAAGGCCATGAATACTCAGAAAAGGTTTTTTTTGTTTTTTTTTTTTAATCATAAATCCTTAAAGAAACAAAGCCAAAGCTCAGAATTTGTCACTTTTTTTTTCTATCTGTCACCATAGGTGGATTTTGTAACTGTATTTAATTTGTGAAGCTTCCCATCCAGCCAAACCACTAATATGTCTCACCAACAAGGAACATTTCAAAAAGAAAAGAAAAGAAAACCTCACTGTTAACCTAGTCAATTTCAACTCCTATCACCCCTGTATAGGATTTCCAAGGCTGTGGGTTTGAAATGCCAATCTTTTGGTTCACAGTCCAGTGTTAATCCTACAGTGCCAGCCAGTTCTAACAAGGAGTATGCAGAGAATTATTTCTTTACTCCAGTGTATAGAAATAGGAATTCTCTAGTCCACATGAATCTATGACATGACCACAGTTTAAAAAATAAATAAACAAATCTAATAAAATAAATCAGGTATAAAGATGAAATTAATGATCAGAAAACTCCCAAGAACTATTTTCATTTTTATTATTAACAGAAAAAAAGATAAGAGGGTTAGCTACGAAGAGAGCAGATAGAAAAACAGAAGAGTTTGAGTTCTGGTAGGATAGTGGTTATGAGTCAGGCTGCTAACCTCAAGATCAGCAATTCAAAACTACCAGCCTTTCCACTGGAGAAAGATGAGGCATTCTTCGCTCATAAAGATTTATAGCCTCGGAAACTCTATGCAGGGTTGCTATGAGTCTGAATTGACTCCACAGCACATAACCACCACCACCACCACCACCACCAATTACTTAACATTCAGAGAGCTGCTATATTTTGAAATTCTGCAGCTTGATAGTATTTCTTGTGACAGTATTTCCTTGATTAATAAGTTAATTATGAACAGAGCCTTAACCAGTTCACATGGGAAATTTTAAATTTTATAACCAGGGATTTTATGAATTTGCTGCCATTTTCTTAGCTGCTAAAATGGCTTTTGATCCATAGCTTTATGTTCTTTGGTCATGCCCATTAAGAAATATAATTTCTTTCAATCTAGCAGCGCGCTGATAGTTCGTATTGGAAATAATGAAACTATCTCAGCTTGATTTTACTTCTTGACATCAATAATATTATTTTAATATTCTCTTGTATTGCAGTGCATTTTCAATATCTTCATTCTTTTTACTGATCTTCAATAACTGAAATTTTTAAAAAAGATTGTTTCAAAATTACAATAATGAGGTTATGCATCTTTTAAACATCTAAATTATTCTACTTCACCTTTCATTACAGAAACAAAGACAATGAAAAAAAAAAGACGCCAATCTCCGTGAAGATAAGACCTCACAAGTTTATGTTGGAACCAGTCTTCTCAGAAATGAATGAAGGAAAACAAATTGGAGATCACGCTTTGTGGAAACTGAGGTATCAATAACCCGGTAGATCCTCAAGGGCTCTTGGTCAGTGTTCTGTGGTAATGAGCACATGTCCTGCTCATTAGACTTGACTAACTATGCTAGTTAACTGCTAGGAGCCTGGACGCTGATTTTCAAATGTTGATATCTGTATGAAAATTGATGTACATCAACCCTTTGCAAGCATTAGTGAATTCATCTAATTCACCTTTGAAAATAAAGAACAAGTTAAAAGAATCTTAACAAAGCAACATTTTCTGTTAAAAGCAAGGTACCATGAGCCAAGATTTACTTTTCCCTTTCCTTTCTAAGAAATTGCCACTTTAAAAGAAAAAAAGAAAGAAAAAGATGAACAGCACATGTATTGAAGAACAACATGATCTAGACCACTATCTGTTTCCCATCGTTTACACTTTTGTGGTTATAATCAGCATCCCAGCCAATATTGGATCACTCTGTGTGTCTTTTCTGCAAGCAAAGAAGGCCAATGAACTAGGAATTTACCTTTTCAGTTTATCACTCTCAGACTTGCTGTATGCATTGACTCTCCCTCTGTGGATTAATTATACCTGGAACAAAGACAACTGGACTTTCTCCACGAATTTGTGCAAAGGCAGTGCTTTCTTGATGTACCTGAACTTTTACAGCAGCACGGCTTTCCTCACCTGTATTGCTATCGATCGCTATTTGGCGGTTGTCTACCCACTGAAGTTTTCTTACCTGAGGACAAGAAGATTTGCATTTATGGTCAGCCTCGTCATTTGGGTATTGGAAACAATCTTCAATGCAGTCATGTTGTGGGAAGATGAAATCTCTGTTGAGCGTTGTGATGCCGACAAGTTGAATTTTACTTTATGTTATGACAAATACCCTTTGGAGGAGTGGCAAATTCATCTCAATTTGTTTAGAACATGTGCTGGCTATATAATCCCTTTGGTCATCATTATGTTTTGCAACCAGAAAGTCTATAAAGCTGTGCAGCACAATCAAGCCACCGAAGATGAGGAAAAGAAGCGAATTATAACACTACTCGTTGGCATCACACTGACTTTTATCTTGTGCTTTACTCCCTTCCATGTTTTGGTACTGATACGCAGTGTTTTAGAGAGGAAAGCGAACCCTAATAAGGGTATATTTGACCTCAAATCTGGGAAGCAGACTTACAAAATATATAGAATCACTGTCGCGTTGACAAGCTTAAATTGCATTGCTGATCCAATTCTCTATTGTTTTGTAACGGAAACAGGGAGGTCTGATATGTGGACTATATTTAAATTCTGTACTGGAAAGCTTAATAAATCACAAAGACAAAGAAAAAGCACACTTTCCATGTCTACAAAAGATTCTGTGGCATTAGACATCCTAGAATGAAATAAAAGAGAGGCCTGGGGTGGCCCTATAGGATAAACACTGAAATGCTAAACTCAAGGTTGGCCATCCAAACCCACCAGTCGCTGCTCAGAAACCTTATACAGGGTCGCTAGGAGTCAGAACCAACTTGATAGCACTTCACATCAACATTAACAGAATAGACCAAAATCAGATTTTTGTTGTTATTTTGGTTTTAAAGCACACAGTATGATAATATCAAGATTACATTTTGAAAAGGAATTTTTGTATGGGTGGGGTCTAAGGGTTCCAGTTGAATAAGATGTATTCCTGTCCAATGGAAATCTTTTTTTAAGTGTGTTGTACAGTTCCCTTATTTTTGTTAAATGAGGTATATTAAACAAATGTAATGTTTTCCTAAAGACTCATAGTTGTTTTTGTTAGGGGCAGTTGTGTTTTTATCTGTGCTATAATGTAACATTGTGTATCTTTAAATCTGTGACATATGTCTGATTTTAATCATCTTTCTTACTTATACCATGGATTTCAAGCTACCGCTTGTCACTTCTCCCAACACTATATACCTGCCTCCAACAACCCGAACCATTAAATACTACTTCTAATGTTCCCTCAGGAGTCCTGGTATGGCACTGCGGGATAATGCAAGGTCAGCTTGAACCACAAGGTCGGCAGTTCAGACACATCAACTGCTCCTTGGACACCCTATACAAAGTAGTTATGAGTCAGAACCGACTCGTCGACTCTTAACAACAACAACAGTGTTCCCTCAAGGAGCCCTGGGAGTGCAGTGGATTATGAATGGGGCTGCTAACCAGTCAGTAGTTCGGCTCTACCAGCCATTCTGCTGGAGACAGAGGAGGCTTTCTGCTCCAAAAAGATTTACAGTCTCAGAAACCCTACACGGAGTCACTATGAGTTGGAACCAACTCGATAGCAGTGCGTTAGTAATTAGGTAGGTCAAACTTCTCTATAAATAAAAGTTCATAGCCTCCAAATGGTCTGGAGACCTCTCCCAAGGGAGAAAGCACATAAGCTCAGTGCTTTCTTATTCAGAATGTTACTCTTAGCATTTCACTAGCTGAAATTAGACATTTCGGATGAGAAAGTGAAGAGACTGAATACAGTTCTTTAAGCTCACCTTCCCCTTCCCTAACTTGGGCAGGCCTCATGGATGGAGAGAAAATGAAGAGCAATCAGCGTCACTATGACTCAGAATGGAATCAGTGGTAATGGTGGTGGTGGTGTTGACGTGGGTGAGTTATGGAGTCCTGGTGTGATGCTATTGGATAAGCATTAGACTACTACTGCAAAGTTGACAATTTAAACCCACCAGTTGCTCTTAGGAAATCCTATACAGGGTCATTATGAGTCAGAACTGACTCCACATTACTTAACAACAACCAAAAGGTCAGCAGTTGAAGTCACTGGTTGCTCCCTGGGAGGAAGATGTGGCAGTCTGTTCTTGTGAAGGGCACAGGCTGAACACCCTCTGTGGCAGCTCTGCTCTGTCCTATGGAGTGAGTCCTGGTGCGGCACTGTGGGTTAATGCTCGGGGCTGCAAAGTCGGTTTGATCCACCAGGTTGGCTGGATGACACTTAACAACAACAACAACAACCTCTGTCCGGTACAGTTGCTAGAAGTCAGAATCAACTCACCAGCAATGGCTTTGGGGTTTTGTATGGAGTCCCTGAGTGGTGCATATGGTTAAGTGTTTGGCTACTTACCATAAAAGTTGGTGGTTCAAATCCACCCAGAGGTGGAAGAGAGGCCTACAGGTCTAATTCCAAAAGATCACAGTCATTAAAAATGCTATAGCACATGAGTGACAAGGTGACTGGAAGGTTGTTGTTGTTTGCTGATAAGTGCCATCGAGTTGGTTCTGACCCCTAGTGACCCTGTATAGGATTTCCAAAGAGCAGCTGATGAATTTGAACCACAGACCTTGCAGTTCAAACTGACCTTGCAGCCCAGAGCGTTAACCTTCAATGCCACACCAGGACTGCAACCAGAAGGTAGCTGGTTCCATTTTAAGGGCATTTTATTTTCGTTGTTTTTCAAGTTACAAAGTATCATCTCCCCAGGAACTCTTGGAGCAAATCTGCTTATTCAAACTGTTATGATTTTTAGGCTAAGAGGTCTCTCCAATATTTAAGAATTTTATTCTTCAGTTTTATGATCAAATAAAAATAATATTTCTCAATTGCCTCCGTTAACTTTGCTAAACCTGCCTTCTCCCTTTTTATTTAGACAATATCAATTTTAAAACACATGTTGTGATGAGATGCTAAGAGTCATTTGCTTTTCCCAACACTTGTACCTTGCCCTGTGCTTTCTTCCTCAGTCATCTCTGTCATTATTTTGATATCCATGTATGAGACTCCTGATCTTTTCTGGCCAACGCAGCCACCGGTTGCTATGGAAACACGACAGCTACTATAATATTTTAACACAGGGAGGTCTTTGTGATAATAGATTTCTTTGTCTAGGTCTATCAGGTGACCCTGCTATGGAAAGAGAAGGTTGTTCCTCCAACAGACACACATAGGCACATGAAACACAAATGAAGGGGTGTCTGAAAATTTGAGGAAAAATCAAAAGGTACTGGAATTTTTCCTAGAATTTTTTGAAGTCTCCTGATATTCACAGAGGCATATTTATATGCTTACAGACATACAAATCACATATTTACAGTCACGCATAACACATTCCTGAATACATAGAGACACATATAACACATATTCACACACACATATTCACAGCACATACCTTCAGATATACATAACACATATACTCACACACACACATTGAACAATATTCACAGACACATATAATACTCAGACACATAGTCACAGACACATACAAACACCTGCCCCCTTGTCACAAAAGCAAACAAAAATCCCTGTCCGTTTTAGCATGTTCTTGTATTGCTTTGTAAAGTGTCTAGTACCAACCAGAAGAAAGTACAGTAATTCCTTAACTTCTAACCTAATTCCCTGTATGGTTGTTTCCATTTTTTCGTTTACTAAGTTAGCAGCCAAAAGTACATTATTAAGATTCTCCTCCCTTCTCCTCCTTCCTTCTTCCTTCCCCTCCAAGAACTGAGTGCCAAGTTCTTTCATTTGCATCATTTCATTGCCATATTATTCCTAGAAAATTCTAATTCCGATGGAGGAAATTAAATGAAAAGAAAACAGAAATGTACTTTATTCATCATATCAGGACTTAGAACTGATTTGAACCACTCCAGATATGATCACTGTATCAAAACTGGAACAGAACTGAAAAGTGTATAATTTGGGTGAGCCGGAGTGTTAATCAGAATGGGGAAACTTAGGAGTCAATGACCTGGAATGGAGGACTCAGAAAAGGGACAGGGAGCCCTTTCAGGGGTTTGATGTATGACATTGGATAACTGTCAGGACTGTGAAGAGCAAAAAACATTCAAACTGGTGTGGTCAGTCAGCATCTTGAGTTGGCACTCCCGTTTTTGGCTCAAAATGTCAGGAAATTTGGTTACTATGTAATACACCATTACATACTATGTCATGTGACCATTGTTTTCTTAAAGGGAGACTAAGGTTCTAGTCGGGTTTTGACTCAGAATGTTTCCCATTCTGATGAACATGTCAGTTCACTCACATGTTGAAAATTCAGATCCTGCAATAGGAAAAGTGAAAAGGGAAGCCCGCACCCCTGATCACGTCTACCTAGAAGCAATCAGAAAGCACAAAAAATACCCAAACACACACTCAATGAAGTATTAAGGGCACAGATAAACACTAAACATGTCCAAGAAGCAAAAGCAGATGACCATATCAACACACGTCTAGAAAAAAGATAAAATGTCTGAGACAAAATGACCTAGAGGTAGACCTGGACTCCATTCTGGAAGGAGGGCAGGCCTTGGATATGCTTGAGAAGGAATTCAGAAACATGATTATAAAATGCTTCAAAACACTTTACAATGGAGTTGAGAAAAATAAGGAAGAAGTCAGGAAAGCGCTACAGGAACAATCAAATAAGATAGATACGGCATTGGAAACTATTCAAAACATAGAGAAAGAGGTCCAAATGATCAATAATAGAATATCAGAAATAGACAATACACTGAAAGGGCAAAGGAGTAGAATAGAAGAGCTGGAAGGCAGGACTAGTGAGCTGGAAGACAAAAATTCAGATCCTTCCTGATGTTACTTTGTCCGTCATGATTGAATTGCGCTGAACCAGCTTGAAGCCCTGCAAAATAAAGACACCTGATTTTATTCAAGCTAAAAAGAAAACCATAAAGAATAGCAACAGGCAGAACAATATGGTGGCTTAGTCATAGATGCCATGTAATCCTCCTACAGCAAAGGCACAGGAACCAGAGGAAACAGCCAGACAACAGTCTTGGAACCGGGAGTAGCAAACGAAAGGATGAAGAACTAGATCAAACACCAAGTGGAAGAAGAAACCAAGATAGCTTAAGCAAGTAACCAAAATACAGGGTAGAAAACTATCCCGAGCAAAAAATGGTAATGGAACAACCTAATAGGGAATTCAAAGGCTTAGACACCAAGACATGCATAAATTAAAAATCAAAGAATGGAAAAAATGTGTCAAACAAACAGTTGCCAAAAAAGAGCAAGAACAGCAATATTACTCTCTGGAAAAATAGTTTTAATTTTGTTTTTAATTTCCTCCGTTACCTACTCATTTGAAAGCCATGTTTTATTCCGTTTCCACGTATTTGATTTTCCCTCCCATTTTCCTGTTGCTAATGTCTAGTCATGTAGCATGGTGACCAGAGAAGATGCTGTCAAAATTTGCCACAAGAGACAAAAAAAAGGCATTCTATAGTGATTAATGTAGCGTGGTGGTTACTTACGAATCGGGCTGCGAACCTTAAGGCCAATAGTTCGAAACTACCAGCAGCTCCGTGGGAGAAAGATGAGGCGTTCTGCTCCCGTAAAGATTTACAGCCTTGGAAACCCTGTACAGGGTCGGTGTGGGTCGGAACCGACTTGAAGGCACCTAACAA